GTCCCAGAGCCTTGTTTTTGGCTACGTCAGTGCAGCTTGGACTTCGTCCTTTAGCACCATCGGTTCTGATCACATGCTTCCTCTCGACATGGCTGAGTGTTGACGAGTCTGGTTTGGTGCCGTCCCTGCGTGTTCTTCCCATCTTCCTTTGAGGCTCCCCGTCCTGTTCAGTCATTTGCCCGTAGGCTCTTTCAATGCTGCAGCTCCAGGCCTGAAACCTGTTCACTTTGGGTGGCCCCGCTGATCTATGCCAACCAGTGACATGGCTCTTCGCCTCACAGCCCCCCAGGAGCCCCCGCAGGATGACAAGCTGACAGTCACGGAGTAGACCAACAAGTTAGTGGCTAGTGTTTATGTAAGCTAAGAAACAACACAGCGAGGCGATATGACTATATTGATCACATAGTCTTTTACCACGAAAATGAATCCTAAACCAGATGAAGGCTCCTGCAGGTCTGGCCCAGGGGGAGTGACACTGTGAGGGACCACACTGGGAACCGCCAACCTGAGTGACACACACAAAAAGTCATGTGGGATCCGGGGGGGATTTGGAACCGAAACCGACACTAGCTGAAAACGGAGGAAAGCCGAATGAACGCTACACTTTGTCGATACCCTAATACAACCAGAATGGATATCAAAACACATAGGTTGCATGAAATATGCCAGACCAAGAAGGAGGAGGAGGAGCAAGAGGAGGAGGAGAAAGAGCATATTGTGACTGAATGCACTTATGTAAAATTTTAGGAAACATGACAGAAAGATGTTCACTGGCACAAAACCAGCTAGCTGAGTGGGGCAGGCGTGCGGGGACGGGGCTGCCTGAAGCGGGACCAGGAAACCAGCTGTGCCCGTCCCCTTGTTTGTGGCGACGTCCAAACACCTGTCACTGTCCAGGTATGCAGTTGGCAGCATGCTGAGCGTGTTGCAAGAAAGGAAATAAAGATTTGAATTAAAATCTCAAGTAAATTAGTAGTAAAAAAATGTTGAAGTAAAATTCGAGGGTATAGAACTTGGGCTTTTCATGGTGGTAAAATAAGCATCTCAGAAAAACCCTCACTTCCAGCCAATCTTGGCACGAGATCCTGCGTGGCACCCATCGGAGTCTCTCTGCCATGCCACTGTCATCACGGTGTCTCTGGGACTTGTTACCCAAAGCCGATCTTCCCTCTCGCACTTGATTGTTTTGTTGTTGGTACAGTGACGTCACAAGCTAAGTCCAGGCTGGAAGCGCCTGAGTCCCCTCCAGTTTCCCATGGCAAGTCCTACGGCGTCGCCGCCCTCTCCATGCTCACCGTGTGGATAAAGGACTCATTTCCTGTGTCACTCTGCTGTCTCTGTAATAGGAGGTGTCCACTTGACGCTTTGAAGCAGAACAGGGTGAGGTAGCAGGGACATCCCCACCCACAGCACGGGAGAAGGCTTCTCCACACCCGTCGGCTTGCTTTCAGGAGGGGTGTGAGGAGCTAAGTGTCGGCTGGAGTTCCCCCCCCAGGAGCCTGGTCCACAGAAAACGGCGCCACTGCACGGGTGTGTCTGTGTGGTGGTTGGTGGAAAGTGGGGGGAGCAAGGTAATGGGACTTCCGATAAATGGCCTTGGTGCCATCCCACCCACACCCCCATTGCCTCTGCCGCCTAGCTGCCCTCTTACCTCTAGGCACAGAGACACTCGTGCCAGAGGGCCAGGGGGTCACTTCCAGACCCAAGGCTGGATCAGGTCTCTGCTCTGAACCTGCAGGGTCCAAAGTAGACCAGAGGCTCCAGCTGAGACTGGGGGCTGTCCCACCAGGAGAGTCACGGCAGCTGCAGCAACCCCAGGCCTTGCCCGCCCAGTGCCTGCGCCGTATGGACAGGAGGTGACAGGGGCAGCCAAGCAGAGGGCCTGGGTGCCCCGTGAGATTCCACCTGAGTTCATGTCATGACTTTACTCCTACGGAGCCTCGGATGATCCGTTAACGTGGTGTCTGTTTCCCCATCCAAACCAATGGAGACAGCAAGTGCTGTCTCAGCCAGCTGCGCGGATTAAAGGAGCCAGTGCGCAGAACATGCCTTCCCGTTTCTGGCAGAAAGCATGCTCTACGAAGGATGTGCGTTTGCTGTCATGGAATGTTTCGGTCCTTTCTAAGACCCCTCTGCTGTCCTTCCTCACCTCACATCCGACAACTCAGGCCAAACACCCCACGGCCTAGCATCTGGGTATGATGGGTAGTTACCCCATCACTGAGCTCTTCAGGCCCGGGATCCCTTTAACATTTTGTCATGACTTTGTTCCAACTCATTCGCTGCAATCCCCTCCACGCACTGACACTTACACCGCGTCCTGTTTCCTTTCCTCCTTTCCTAACCTTGGCCGTTGGGTAAATGCGGCTTTTCTGAAGGCAAATGGTTGGTTGTCTAAGGTGTGTGTGCCCCTTACCGATTCTGTTCTCCCTGTAGACCTGTCCACTGCTTTGCTGAACATAGAGCCACGGGGGTGAGTTCATTTCCAGACAGGAAAGGTGACCAGGGGCCATAGTCTTGGGGGTTCTGCCAGTCTTTCTCCAACCAGTGTGGTAGTTATATAATTTCACAGACACTTGATCACTAGGTTATGGGGTAGAGTCTAGGCTGTCAGTCAGCCTGAAGACATCTCATGAGTGTGGCTTTCTCATGAAGATTCTGGGAACTTCTCTCTCTCCCTGGAGGTGGGACACTCACTCTCTCCCTCAGCCTTCCCTTTCCTGCTGCTGAGACACTCAGAGAGCTGGAGGAGCCATGTGGGGACCCGCGCCAGCATTGAGATGCTTCCACTGCCACTGGATCGACAAGACTTGCTACCCACCAGCCTGTGGTCTTCCTGCATTCAGCATCATTGCATGGGCTGCAGAGTCTAAAGAGGAATTTATTGACTATAGTCTAATATCAGGATTATGGGCTTGATCTGGACGGGGCTGGGATGTTTTCTCAATATGCAATTGTTGTTTGATACAGAGCTCTTTCTTATACACATATGAATGTCCCTGGACTTGTTTCTCTTGTCAACTCAGGCTAACACAACCAGCAAGCCTGGGCTTTTTTTCCGTCCATATGTTTGAAATGAACTTGTGTCGTTAAAGAACCCAAGTCCATTTTGGTTTTACTTTCCCTCCTGTTTTCCACTCAGACCAATGCTTGGATCGGAAGGATAAGAAATCTGGATGGTTTTTAAGGCGGTAACCCTTTAGTCTCTCTCTCTCTTAAAAAAATTAACTTTATTTAGTTTGGTTTTCAAAGAAAACTATATTCTGAGAAGTTGCACAGCCCTCTTGACAGATCACATCAGTAACAGTACCCCACGCATCCCACAAGTGAGCCTGGTCTTCAGTGTGACGTAGAGCTCTGTTTCCCAGTCTCTGCCCACTCTGGACAGAGCCTGCTACCCTGATCCCTTTCTGGCCTGTTGGTAGCAGCGGTCGCGGGGCACCATCTAGTTCTCCGGGTCTCAGGGTGGCGGAGACTGGTGGTCCTGTGGTCCACTGTGAGTCCACTGGGCTGTTTCCAGGTGTCCAGTTTTCTTCACTTTCCTTTCCTCCAGACCGGGAGAAACCAATCGCTGTACCTTAGGTCGTCGCTTTAATACCCCAGTTGCTGTTACTCACTGAAGCAGGCTGTAGAACACTGTCTTTTGAACTGTTACACTAATTGACCTTGGCGTCCCCCAAGACAGTGATCCCGAGTCCCTGGGCCCTGTGACTCATGCCCTCAAGGTGTCTTATGATCTGAGTTCTCACAACTTTACCTCCTGAATGTCCCCCTGTAAGTTTGCTGCAGATAACCTGTCAAACCTATTCATGGGTGTCCTCCTACACTCCCTCCCACACACCTTCAGCCTGCGTACCTACGGAACTGGGACTCTTGAGGGTTAATTTCTCTTGACCTTAACTAGGATGCAGGACCTACTTCACACAGAGAAATTGAATGCCTGATGCATGCAAGCCCTGCCTTCTCCAGCAGAGGGCGATCAGCACGCGCTTTGCTGGTCATTGAGCCTCGACGCTGCCAGCCCCAGGCCCTGGTACTCATATGCCTGGTGAAATAGAAGGGCAGGGAAAAAGAGGAAGACCCTGGAGGAGACGATGGAGACAGTGGCGATGACTGCATTCAAAGCAACGACGGGGAGGGTGGTGTGAGACAAGGCAGTACTGTATCCCTCTTTCTGTCCTATGTCGGGTCGCTGTGAGTCCGAAATCAGTCAAGGAGCCCTGGTGGAGTGGTGGGGTTACACCTTGTGATAGTTGCGTACTCCGTTGTCAACTTGAGCCTTAAGAGTGAAAGGGTGGAGTTTAGCCAGCGCTGAGATGCTTCCATCCACTGGCCGGTGAACTGTCTGCATTTGGCTTCATTGCATGTGTTGTGTGAGTCTGACGAGGAACTTAAAGATTGGTATTGGACACATGGGCTAAGAGCGGACTTATGGTCTTGATCTGGACTGAGATTTTTCTCAATTAAAGTTCTTTCTTATACAGGTGAGTGTCTATGGGTTTGTTTCTCTAGTGTACCCTGACTACCACACACCTTGTGGGAGAAAGATGGGACTTTCCACTCCCGTAAAGAGTTACAGTCTCAGAAACCCACCGGCACAGCTCTACCCGCCCCAGAGGGTCGCTGTGAGTCAACATGGACTCCAGGGCAGTCAGTGAGCGAGAAGTCAGTCAGTGGAGCCACAGACAGACCCTTGCTTTCCTAGCCCTCACCACTCCTGCCCCGCCCCCACCAGGAACCTCTTGTGGAGCCTGTTCTCCAGGTGGTAACACTCGTGTTGTGCTCTCTGCCTCAGACCCCAAGATTTTCCACAAGTGAATCCCTGGGAGCAACACCAAGCCCGGGGAGCTGCATCCCACACGGGGAGCAGCACCCCCAGGCTGCATCGCAGAGCTTCCCAGCCTCATGTCCCAATCTTCCCATAGAGCCCTCCCACTAATGGGGGCTGGACTGAGCCCTTGCCCGACCCATCCACACCCAAGAAGCACAAAACACAGACGGAAAAAAAAAAATCACATCTTTATTGTTTGGTTAATGAGCTGGCTTGAGGGGTCTCAGAAGGTAGATAATACCAAGTTTTGATTAGTCAGACTCCTGTTAACTGTAAAAACATATAGTGTTTTTTAAAAATCACTTAAAAAGCAGGATTGGCCAAACAGCCACCTTGTAAGAGGTTCAAGGCACCCGAGTGACTGAGAAACATGTGTAGGGGCCCTGGGGCCTAGTGGAGGGGCTGGTGGGGCCCCGGATAGTGCCCCTTCATCCCTGGCTGTCACACTTATGTGTGTGCACACATACACACACCCACTTTTCTTTCCCCGTTTACAAATCACCAAGCCCATCCACCCTGGAGAGGACCCCTTCCTACAGGGACCCTCCAACCACCTGCCTGTCGGGTGGTGAGCTTAAGCCGTGGCTCCTCAACCCCCTTTGGGGTAGAAAGGGGACAGAAATCGCCCCTCCTAGACAAGGCACCACCCGAAATTAGCCCTGAGCAGAACGCTGAGTGTCCCCTCCCTGGCCCAGCCACCTCCCTAGAGGGCCCTGGCGGCAGCCCACTCACCCACCCAGCACGCACTGCAGGATTGTGGTGAACGTGGGAGAGGCGCCCCAGTCCTGTGCAGCTCCCGTCGAGGACTGAGAAGGACGTGGCACGGTCGGTGGGTGGTGGTGGGGCGCGGCCCCTACGGAGGTCCAGCGGGCCTTAACTGGGGTAGCACATGCAGCAGCCGGCGCCCGCCGCCTCCACGCTGGGCTTGGCGCCAGGGCCCAGGAGCCCATCGGTGACAGAGTACTCCTCGATGATGTCTTCCACGCGGGTGATGTACAGCAGCGTCAGCAGCACCCCCAGGAACTGGGGAGAAGGGGCGGGGCCCGTAAGGAGCGGGCCCGTGGGGGCCTGCTGGGACACGGCACCCTGTCCGCTCCTCCGTGGCCCCCACAGGGAAGACCTCTCCCAGCCAGGGCCCTCATCTGCACGCCCTGGCAAATCCCGGCGTGGTTCCCCGTCCCCTCTTGGCAGAGGTCCCTCCACTGAGGGATTCCAGCCTCCACCCCGCTCGACCACTCCCCCTGCACAGCCTCAGTTTCCTCCTCTGTCCAATGGGCATGGTCGCAGCAGCCACCTCTTAAGAGTGTTGGTCAGGCTCCCTGAGCAATGCGATCGCCATCCGCCCGCTCCAAACCGCCAGCCCTCCCCGGACGGGACCAGCGGACCGCTGGGACAAGGACCTTCTCGGCCCACCCCTCTGTGCCTTCCAGCTCCCAACCCCCTCATCCAAAAGCCCCCCAAACTGGCCCACCTGAGGCAGCAGGATGCCCAGCAGGATGCCCGCCATGATGGTGTAGTTGTCCATGAACCAGATGAGCAC